CCTCAGCGGCGTCGGGGGGCGGGGGGACAGAGCGCGGGTCTGGGGGCTGGAGGTGAAGGGGGTTTGCACCGTCCCCGCCGTCGTGGTTCTGTCCCGGCTGAGCATCCTTTCGAGGGGCTCCGCGGAGCCCCGCGGGGCAGCCCTCGATGCCCGCTTTGCCTGCCCAGCCCCCGCCGGCTCCTGGCAGGCGATGAATGACGCTTCCCTCCGCCCTCGGCTTTCCTTGCCCTCGATGACCGCTCCTCACTCCTCTCTTGGCTCACCGAGGCTCCTTGTCTAATTACCGTGTCTAATAGCCGGGTTTAGCCAGCGCCTGAGCTTCACCCCAGGTGGTGGCTTTGCCTTAGAGGCAAATCTCCTCCTCAGGACCGGTAGTAACCAATTCGATCAATGACAGCAAAGCTCTGTGGTGTGGATCCCAGCCAGCCATCCTCCTTTAATTCCCCAGATGACTTTCATTCAAAAGAAACACTCCGTAGTGTGTTGTGTAATTGTTTTAAAAACATACTGAAGCTTGCCACAAATGGGATTTTGGTTTAAGTATAGAAAAGCTTTCAAAAAGTGTTTCCCAGCTAGAACAATAAAAGGCTTTCCCTATTTTAACATTTTGGCCTTTGACTGAAATAGCTGACGTGTCAATATGCTGGATAAACACGACTTCTGCTAATCCAGCTGGCTTTTGCTTGGGTACGTTGAGCTTGTCCAAAAGTAGCCCTGTGTCCAAAGCTGCCCAAGCAGCTGGGGTGTGATTGGACGTGGACAGGGCATCCCCACCTCACTGCGAGCTCATCTGTTTGGTGTGTTGCATCATATGTGTTCACAGTGGTTCATATCAGGAGAGGAGATCAGGTAATACGCTGTGCCAACTGTCCACACCTCCCGGATACTGAATTAAGGTGCCATGAGGATTTGCTGACTCTGTTTTAGGCTTTCTCCAGCTTCTTTGCCATAGTTGTCTACAATGTCCACTTTTCCCTGTGTCAGCACTGAGCAGTCTGGGGCTCTGACCTCTGTGTAGCTCCCGAAATCTGCTCCCCTCAGCACCCTGGGGGTTGCTGACTGATCCAAACCCTCAGCGATGGGAAGGGGCAAGCCAAGGCTGATGTTTGATCATCCAGTGCACTAATTGTTAATTACTGGAGCCATAAGACCTCTGAGGAGGTCTTTCAAGGGGGTTCCTCTTCAAACAGTTCCCGGATCTCCTTCATCTCAGCTCTCCAGGTGGCTTTTGGCCATGTGCTTTGTTGGCTACTAAAAAATCCCAACCCTGGCAGTCCCTACTTTGCAGCTGTTAAACATACACTGACTCACTCTTGTGTCAATTGACGCAACAAGACTTGTTATCTGGATATGGGATAAAATATTTCCTGCGTCGTTCAGTCACTCTAACATTCAGAAATCTGTGTAGTGGTGTTCTTTCTTACTCTTCAATTATCATCAGCAGTAATAATTAGCATAATAGTTTTAGAGCAATTAATGATCATATGTTGGCCTAGGAATTTTTAAGTTTTGCTTTAGTTCACATTCAGTGGGATTTAGGAAGCCAAATGCTGACATGTTTAATTTGTCACTCATCAGTTAATAAATGTTCATAGATTGAAGAAGAATGGAGAATAATCAGAAGGCCCTTCAATTTTAATATCCGTTTGGGGGATTTTGATGTCGTTTGCATATAGATATAAATATTCATTAGGATGGTGTGGTTTTGTTAATTAATTTCAGTGGGATTTCTCATACGACTATGTGGGTTGTAAGTATTTGCAGAAGTCTTTCCAGAACTGGGATTGTAGTTGGCTTTAAAAAAAAGAATATAAAATAAGTTTAAAATACTCTTGAGGGTTGGACTGTTTTCCTCTGTTAGCTGACACGCTAAATTATGCAGCATTTATAAACCCTTCTCTCTGGCAGGTTTTGGAGATCATATTCATTGGAGAACACTAGAAGATGGGAAGAAAGAGGCAGCAGCCAGGTATGTTTGCTAGTTTTAAATACGGAAAAGTGTCTTTAAAAGCATTCACAAAGGTTCTGTATCAATCCTAAATTTAACCACAGAAGAGTCATTATTAACAAAAATGAGGATAGTTTAGGAGACTTCAGATCCCTACACTTATTATAGAGAAAATACAGAGTTTTGATATCTTTGCTCAGGCACCACCTAGGTTTACTCACTGCAGTCTAATTAAATCATTGAAGCCATAGCATGTCTTTGAAATGAGAAGAAAATAATTATTTCCCACAGTAAAGAAAGGTATGGTTCTGAAACCCACAAATGAATGTGTAAAGAGTGCTCAATCCCCTTGAACTCAGCAGTGCTGAGAGCTTCCCTAATATTCCTTATGCCTGTATAGATGAGGCCTCAGCCTGAGATGAGTTATTTTGTTCCAATGTGCAGGAAAAAGTCTGGAAGTTTCAAACTAGTGAACTGATAGAACCTGATTTGGTTAAGTTTAAACTCTAAAAATAACAGTCTCTTAGAAGGTAAAAAATTATATTTTGACACATTATTTTCCTCAGAATTTCTTCTGTTTCTTGTTAAAATGTGAGAAAGGAAATGGTATGCTTATAAATTCTACTTGTATTTTAAATTTATAACCTACATCTGACAATGCTGACATGAGCAGAAATTCCTCATGCCTTCCAGGTTTGCTGTTTGAGTTCAGCTCTCAAACTGATCCATCGTTTTAGTGTAGGTACCAAATTAACCCAGATGATACACTTCCGAGGTCTTACAAGTTTCTATAGCTGGATATTTTTGAAAAAAAATATTATTTCAGTATTTACAGGTGTAATTGTAGCACTACCTTGCAATGAAGCAGAGGAAGCTTCAAAGTGAGACAGGGGAGAGCGGTGAGCTCTCAGGTTTAGGCAGGATGAGCATTCCTGCTCAAGGAGACTGCAGCAAGGGGTGGGTGTAATCCATACCCTCTCCTTTCACTGTTGGAAGCACAGACCCTTTCACTGATTTGAGTTCAGCAGCATTTGAGCATTACTGAAGGACTGGGAGAAACCACTAATAACAAAGAAAATATAAACCTAAAAAGTAGATTTGTTTTCCTAAGTCTGACCTTAGGTCAGGAGGAGATGAAAAATAATACGAAAATTAAACGAAATTAACTGTGACACATCAAGCGAGATCCAGCAGAGCCAGTGAGCTGGGAAGTTTCAAGACTTCAATTTGAATTTTATAAACTGCGCAGCGTGGATGTGTCGGGGGATGCTGGAGACGTCTCGTTTTTAAGTTCCCTGCGGACGAGGGCAGGGATCAAGCGTTCCTACAGTTAGTAAGGTCGCGTTTCTAAGCCGGACGCCTGGCAGGACGGTGTCCCGGTGCCAGAGGCGGGAGCTCGGTGGTTCCGCATGCTCGAAGGGGCAGAGGAGCCCGCAGGGCGGTGCCGCCGCTCGGGGCCGGGGGGTGCTGCCGGTCGCGGGCGGGCCGTGTGTGGGTGTGTGTGACCGGCGGAAGCAGTTCCCGCCCGTCCGGGTCGGTGCCGGCGGGGTGATGCCGCTGGTGGTGCTGTGCGGGCGGCCGGGCAGCGGCAAGAGCCGGCGGGCGGCGGAGCTGCGGGCGGCGCTGGGCGGCCCCGAGCGGGCCGCGCACGTCGTGTCCGAGGCGGAGGGCGGGCGGGCGGCGCTGCGGGCCGAGGTGGAGCGGCGGCTGAGCCGGCGGGACGTGGTGATCGTGGACGCGGGCAACGAGCTGCGGAGCATCCGCTACGAGCTGTACTGCGCGGCGCGGCAGGCGGGCACGGCGCGCTGCCTCCTGCACTGCGCCGGCGGCGGGGGCGGCCCCGACGAGCCGCCCTTCGAGGAGCCCGACCCGGGCTGCCGCTGGGACCGGCCGCTGTTCACGGTGAGCGGGGAGGAGCCGCTGCCGCTGGGCGACATCCGCGCCGCGCTGTTCGAGAGCGCCCCACCGCCCCCGCACCGCTCCACCCGCGCCCAGCCCCTGCAGTCCGGGGAGTTCCTGCACCGCCTGGACCGCGTCACCCAGGACGTGCTGGCCGCGGTGATGGCCGCGCAGAGCGGCGGGGCGCTGCCCGGGGACACGGTCCGCGTCCCCGGCCTGGCCGAGGGGCTGGTGCTGAGCCGGCCCGTGAGCCTGGCCGAGCTGAGCCGGCTGCGCAGGCAGTTCATCAGCTACACCAAGATGCAGCCCAGCGATGAGAACATGCCCCAGCTGGCCAGCATGTTCCTGCAGTACCTGAGCCGCAGCATCCAGTGAACCGGGGGCAGTGGCCGTGGTTGTCGAAGTACTTGCGACAGTAAGAACACGCCTTCCAGGCACAGACCCTGCAGAGCCTGGATCCCACCTGTCGTGTATCGGATATTTGGCAGCAGCAGCTCTGGGTGCTGTGTTCCCACAGCAGCCAAGCAGACTATTTCTGAGAGAATCTGTAGGGGTACAGTTCCCCACACCCCGGAATTCTCCCCGTCAAAAAGGAGAGCAGCTGTTGCATCCCCAAGCAAGTGAAGTCTCCTGTGGAGACATAAACCCCAGTAATATAGTAGTGTCTGAATGTGAAAGCGCAAAAGGTGATGACTGTATGTCTTGAATAAGAAGATTGTTTTTCCAGGGCTGCCTACAGATAATGTCAAACTGCAGAAGAGACTTCAGGTCCAGAACTAGAACAGGCGGTGTTTTAGAATGTGACTGTTTCAAAAAATCTGACTGAACCCAAGAGAGATTTACAGCTCTGCACTGCAAAAAGATGCTGGCTTAGCAAACTCAAAGAGGTTTAACAATAAAATGTGTGCCTTAAATTGACTAAACTCTTAATTTATCTGCAGGACTGTTTTATTGAAATAACTTGCCGTGTCTTTTCTCTGCAAGGTCATCATTAAACACCTTTAAAAACACTAATTGCTTAAGAATGAGTTCTCTCATAGGGAAAACAAGCTAAAATGACAATGTCTGTTCTTGTTGAAACACGTAGGTTCGTACCAGCTGGGATGGGTAGCTTAGTTTTGCATTTAGTTTCCAGTAATTTGGGGTTTGCAATACAATAGATACAGTTTATATAAACTTCTCACTTTCTGGTGGATGCTTCATCCCTCATTCTCATAAATTATCGTTTTTGTTTAATTGTGTGTGTAGTGCTCCCTGGGAGGAAATAGTACAGTCTGACACACCGACTGCTGGGGGATTTATGCATTACAGAACTGAGAAATGACTACAAAAATGTTTTGATGTAAATAAGTTTATCTTACCAGTCAAAGTAAAGAGAATAAAGCTGAGAAAACACATTCATTATTTCAAACCTCTGTGAGTTCTCACTAAGAATTGGTATTTCAAGGCTGTGAGCACTTAAATTTAAAATCTGCTTTGAAAATTTCTCTTTAAAAAAAGTGTGTTGCAGTACTGATTGCCAGATGATTGAACTCTTTTGGCATGAACCACTGGTCCTTGATAAGAACAATGTGTATTTTCCAGACGTAAATCAGCCTGTCCTCAAGAAAGAGGCAAAACAATTTGGGACTCTGTAGAAACAATGAAGAAAAAATGTGGGTTTTCATCCTCAGGGACAGGACACTGGATGCAATGCAAGCTCTACTAGGGCAATGTGTATTCATACTCCTTACTGCAAGCAGAGCCCAATGGGAAGGTGATGACATATTGGTTAATTATAAAGGGCAAACTTCTCTTTGAATGACTCTAAATGTTAATGTCTTCCTCTCTACCCTTTTCTGGTTCTAAAGATCATACCTGAACGCTGCTAAGTAGAGATTTCCTTTCATATCTGTTTACAGCTAAAGGGTTACTGGGTTTGATGGTTGCTCAGTGGGGGTCTTGGTCACAGGAGGTGACTGAAACATGTGGGCTGTAATGGGGAGGAGGATGGATAGGTGACTGTCAACCACTGGGTTGCCATAAGCAGCCACAAAAATCCATCCCGAGATCTCTCAAGCAGCTGGTGTCACTAACCATTTCCAGTAATCCAGTAAAAAAATGCATGACCAGCTGTGTATCGGAGGAATCTAAACTAATAAGAGCAAGTCTTCCAAAGACAAAGTCTCCTCTATGTGAGCAGTTACAATAAAGTATTTTATGAGATGTTTTAAGATTGGGAAAACTTTTTGCAAGCCAACCTTAGAACACAGCAGAATCTCTTTGCATCTTACTTGTTTTCTGTTACATTGAGCCTTTGAGGAAGCCCTGACTGTTAAAATGTACACGTAACAGAATTTGGTTTAGAGGCTTTCTGGAAGCTTTCTTTGACAGTTTTTTTTCTTCCTTTTTTTAGTGGTTTGCCTCTTATGGTTATCATCCACAAGTCCTGGTGTGGAGCTTGCAAAGGTAAGTGTATTTAATGCTAGAGCTTGCTGAAATTTCTAGTGAATCTTTGTATGCAAATCACATAGCCATGAGAAACATGAGCTTTGCATTCAGAATGTAGCTAATGGTAACTGTATTTCATTAAGAGAGGAATAATATGGCACTGCCATTGCAAACAAACAAGCTGGGGATCATGGCTAAGCTTAAAGGATGAGGCAGTTGAGTGGGAATACTGGTTTATAGCAGGCTTTCTGCTCTGTTCCATTGGTTCTATACAGCCATGTATGTTTGTTGTCAGGCTTCATCCCATGGCTGCCCAGCAAGAATTGCTTCAGTCACCTGCTGCTCTTAGCCCAGCTTTGCATAGTTTGATACATACATTCCATTTACTCACTGCTTATTGAAAAGTACCAGCTTTCCAGAGGGAGGGATGAAGTGGAGATTTTGATACTGTTTGAAAATCTGAAATATTTTCCACTGTTTTTACATGCCTCTTTATTTTTATTTCCCTCCCCTTAATTAGCTTTAAAGCCAAAGTTTGCTGAATCCAAGGAGATCTCTGAACTTGCCCATAATTTTGTTATGGTCAACCTTGAGGTAGGCTGCCTTCTGATCTGTGTCCATGTTACTGCCTGGTAATTAAGCATTTGGAATCTGACTTTACTGGTTACATCCTGTTTGGTGTACATCCTAAATCCTGCACTCCTGAATAGGCATTCAGGATTGATTGATACAGCTCATTGTTTTAAAAAGACTTCTCTTCAGTCTGGTTATTTTAATTCTGTTTATAAACCTGGCTCTCTGCCATTGTCTCTTTAACAGTTTGTACCTTGTGGGATTCTGTTGCTGCAATAAAGGAATTTATGTTTATTCTTTCATTACCTATCAAACATTCCTACACCAAAGTGGAGTGTGTAATGCAAATTAACAGGACAAAAAAATATTATTATTTATACAGAGGATACTTGTTTAGGTAAAAATAACTTACTTTCGTTGAGAGTGGAAGATCCTGCAGTTACTTGGCGTCTGTTCAAGATGTAAATTGCTCAAGGTAACGGGAATCTGAAGGCAATAACTTGTTTCTTTAAAAAGCAATGTTGTGTTTTGTTAGATATCTTGCTAATACATTCCTTCTCTTCTGTCTTGCTTTGGTAGGATGACGAAGAGCCCAAGGATGAAGCCTTTAGTCCTGATGGAAGTTATATTCCCAGAATCCTTTTCATGGGTAAGGCATCTGCAGCTCTTGTGTCCACTCACAGGACTGGGTTCTTATTGTTACCACCTAAATTTCCTGATGGATTTCTCGTTTCATAGATCCCAGTGGAAAAGTCCATCCGGAAATCATAAATGAGAGAGGAAACCCCAGCTACAAGTATTTCTATACCAATGCCGATCAAGGTATGTGCAAAGTAATTGAAACTGCATTTTTAGTGAGGACACACCTTCACTGTTTAGTGGAAAAAAAATGATGGTACTTTACAGCATAACTGGGAGCTGTTAGGTACAGTGTGAGTGAGTGGTTCTCCAACACTTGAGGAACCATATTCAGAATCGTAATTCACCTTAAGACATACTGTTATGTCTGTAGGACCTAAGCTTTGTCTCCAGTTGTGGCATGTAAAATCGTGGAATTTGCATGATCCATCTACACATAGTTGAGGAAATGGTGCAGGACTGGAGGATTTTTTTGTTTGGTTGTTGGTTTTTTTTTCCCACAGGTTAATTTGTAGATATACTTTCTATAACTGTTGTTTTGAAATAACTTTCATTACCAGTCCACCTTGATGTTTGCATCACGAGATTAATAGTTGGTATCTCTCTTGTCTAATCTTTCAGTTGTCCAAGGGATGAAGGAGGCCCAGGAGAAGCTGACAGGTGATGCTTTCAAACAAAAGCACCTGGGAGATGAACTATAATGGATACACTAAATGATGATTTTTCACTGCTTCAAAACTATAAAAGGAAACGATTGAACAGACTGAGAATGTAGTTGCACTGAAGGGACATAATTCTCCTGTCAACAATGTTAGGGTAAACCCTGTTTGGAGTTCACACACATGCATCAGTCACAGTGTTTTCTCCTCCTGCCTGGAAGTTTGCACTGTGATGATTATTTGCAACTAGGTAACGTGCAAACACGTCCCGTTGTGTGTTTGAGCAGCCACTAATATTTGGTGTTAAAAGGGAGGTGTGTAGGGAAGAATATTATATGAGGACAAACAGTGTGATTGAAAAAACTAGTAGCAGCCAACATTTTGACACCTAATCAGGGTTGAATTCCTCTTCTCTCACTGGTATTATGTGATCCCATTGTTTTTACTGGGCATTGCCATCAATGGGGCATCTTCCTAGGCCAGGTATTTTCTAGATATCCCAAAACACGAATTCTGCCAGTAAACCCAGTAGAATACATTTCATGAATGTCCAAGTAGCATGTGAAATTATCAGCTCTGCAAATGTATTTTTGTGTAAAACTGTGTGATTCACTTTTATTTGCCTTTGGGCAGAAAATTAACTTTTTCCTTATGCACTCACCTTTTGATTGTTCCATCAAGTGAGGGTGGGTTATGTTGAAGCTTTACGGGGTTTCCCCTTTTATTCTTTGAATGTTTTTTGGCGAATGCCTTGCCATCACATTGTACTGTATTTTTGTACCAGGGTGAAAAAAAAATAAACCTTTTTAAACATAAGCATGCAGAGAGTGTTTTGTGGTAAAGGGCATAACTTTCTGTTCTTAAGCGGGGGGGATAGATTTTTGTTTATGTTGCAGTGGTTATTAATGTTGAATGTCTCAGCTGAAGAAGATTCCTTGTCATTACAATTCAGCCATTTTACACTGCCTATACTGTCAAGGACAAGGTGATACCTACTGTTTATCTACTGGAACTGAAAAGGAAAATGGAAAGGAGAAAAATCACCTCTCAACCTGCTGGGGACGCTTTTCCTAAGGCAGGCCAGGATGCTGTTGGCTTTTTTGCCACATGGGCATATTGTTGGCTCATGGTCAGCTTGTTCTCCACCTGGACTCCCATACTCTCCTCTGGAAAGCTGTTTTCCAGAATCTACTGGTGCACAGGTTATTCCTCCCCAGGTGAAGGACTTTGCATTTCCCTTTCTTCAACTTCCTGACAACCCTCCCTGCCCATTTCTCCAGCCTGTTCAGATCCTTTTGAATAGCAACACAACCATCTGGTTATCAACCACTCTTCCCCAGCTTTGTATCATTGCCAGTTTGCTCAGAGTGGGCTCTGTCAGTTCATCCAGGTAGCTAATGAAGGTGTTACAGTACCAGCCAGGGGTACTCCAGTAATGACGAGCCCTGTTCAGCCCAGCAGTTCTGCCAGTTTTCCATCCACTTCACTGCCCATTTAGTTAGGTTGTACATCAGTTTGTCTATGAAGATGCTTTGGGAGACAGTGTAGAAAGCCACAGTAAGGCCAAAATAAACTACATCTGCTGTTCTCCCCTCATCCACCAAATTAGTCATCTAAAGCAAAAATTCCTGTCCCAAGTGCACTTGCTATAACTTCCCAGAACAAACACAGAGAGATCATTTTCTACAGATACTTTCTGAAGAACTATCTGTGGACATTAAGGGGGGAAAACTGTTGTATATACAATAAACCCAACTTGTCTACTGAGTCCATTTTTACTGTTCAGTAGCATTAAGAATTTTACTTCGCATACCAGTCTGTCTGGTGTCTGATTTTAGACACCAAAACTCAATTGGCCACTAAAAGAGAAGGACTCAGTGGAAATAATGGGATTGTTGCACATCACAATTACCCTGATCAGCTGCTGAAAGTTATTCTACAGGCTTTATCCTCTGCTTCTCTTGCAAATTGTCTAATAAATAAATGATCAAATTGAACTCAGTAACTATTCTCAAGTTGTATCAGCCTTCAAAGTAAACCTATGTAAGTCCTAAAAAAGGATCTGCATTTTGCAAAATTGTCTTCTTTTTTCCTCCAGCTGTATCAGTTGACCTAATAAAAAATAGGTCCTGTCTGATGCTCATTTCATTTATAGCCTTAGATTGACATGATTAAAAAAGTCATTGCTATGGCTTTCTTTACTTGCCACCAGGGGGAGGACTCTGCATTTTCATCTCGGATAGGATTCAACAAATCATCATTGAAAAACCAATCTCTAGTGCACAATAGCGGGCTGCACCTCTGCGATTTTCCATGCACAGCTTTGCAGCGGCTCTGCCCCTATCTTATCTCTGCAGTGACATTACAGCCCATGAGATGTACATCAATTGTCCCTTTCTTTGCAAAACACTCTGATGTCAGAAGCAACGTGGCCTCAAAGTAATTTTTAAAAAGTTCTTCACCTAGAAACAGATGTGGGCACTGTGCTTCATCCTTTAGTTTTAAGACCAACCTGATTCAAAATTACTCTCCTTCACATCTTCTCTCACACAATTCCTCTCCTTCAGCACTTTATGCCTTCCAGACTTGCTACTCTGGAAGGAAAAAAATATTCCACAATCCTTTTTCCTTTGTTATTTGGCTGCCTACTTTCTCACTAATCCTCTCTACCCTCTGTATGTTCAGCCATGGTGAGCAGGCACAGCTTCCCCACCCTCCCTTCGACTTGGTCTTTCCTAGACTTTTGCTTTTGTCCTCTGTAGCAAGATGGAGCTTGGCACTTGCTGGCCTGGTCAGTGTTTAGCTGGGGGCTCAGCAGAACATGACATATGTGCTGCCACACATGGTTGCTAGGGGCAGCTAGTTAACTCCTGTAAAAGCTGTTTCACATCTCTGGATTGCAGGGTGAACTTAATCTGTTACTTAAATATTTTTGTCTTTCCTACCTGTCAGCTTTGTACCTGGACATTTTAGTTGCTCACTCCTACTGCAGATTCTTTAAATTCTTCTTCTTTTTCATCTAGACCAGGTTGGCATTTTCTTCTGTGCAGAGGGATCCATCCAGCAGTTGTTTTATATATGTTGTGTGACTTTATGGACACAAGCAAGTCCACTGGGCTTAGAGGACCTGCTTGCAGGTTAGTGTTTGCTGTAGTTGTGTTTAATTATACACTGCAGCAGCTCAGCACTGCACAGTAACTAAGGCTTCAGATTAGTTTGCCCCCATCAGCTTTGTTTCATTTGCTGCCCATCTGTGTGTGACTTGCAGTAAACCTGCGTACTTACATAACTTCTTCAGATGCATCCTAGAAATCCCCATGGATTCTCAGCTTCTCCTCCTTCTGTGAGGTGACAACAAAACCCAAAGACACTTCAAAATTCTTAGTACGGACCCAGGGAACTGCCAAGCCAAATCAATCTCATGTAAACAAACATGCTGTCAGTTCCCTTTTTCCCAGAAACAACCCACAGAGGAAAAAAACCCAAAGTTAATTAGGGAGTGCCTGGATTGCAGCTGGCCATCTGGCTGCCTGGGAGCAGAGGTTGCTTTTGCACCTGAGGCTGAACAGGCTCTAAGGAAGAGACTCAAGAAACCTTTCCTTTGCCATGTTTAGCAGCAGGGAACAAAAGTACAACAACCGAGAATGCCAGCATGGCCAGAGTGTCCTGTCTGTCATCCTGGCATCATCTACTTCAAATGCACTTTTGTCCCTGTGGCTGTCTGCCTGCCATCGTATCCAGCCTGTATCCAACTGCTAATGAGCTTCATTCACTGTCCTCACGTAGAGCTTGTGTAATGAATAGCTCTGAATTGAAGTATTATTAAACCCCTATGAATACAAGGTCATATATCCTTGGAGGTGATGAAACTTCTCTTAGCTTTTGCAAGAGGATTTGCATTTGCATTATGCTGTGGTATTTCTTTGCAGCTGACCTGGTGTTAACGCCTGATGGGGTTTGCCCAACCAGGAAAACCACTTCAGGGCTGTTCCTTGACAACTGTGCTATAGGTGGATCAAAACCTGAGACCTAAGGATGGAGATTCAGAAAACACTAACGGTGGAATTACACTGAGCAGAGCTCTATCCAGAGAGTGGGATGAAAAGGGGAACTTCACTGCAAATCCATGCTCGTTGCAAAGACAGCAAAGCCAAAGATGAAGTTTCTCTAAATGGTTGCAGCCCCCTTCCAGACAGCTGTGTAAGTTGTCTTTGGCACTGACTGGATAGGGGACATTGCTGCCTGGAAGGAACCAGGAAACAATTAATGAAGGTCTGTCAAAATGGTAAAAGTCACTTCATCTCAAAACTATTTGGCATATTAACTCATTCCCGCTTTCCTCCTTGAAGAAACAGGTGCTGATTTGTTAAGCAGTTAGTCAAATAAACTCAGTTTGCTTTTCCTTTCAAAGTTTGTCCAGAGTAAGGAGTGGCTGTGCACAGTTCCCAGGCCTGCCATTGTCCCAAGATCACCACTCCTGCCAGGGCTGATGATTCACTCCTGCAGCGCCAGCCCGGTGCCACCACGTCAGCAGAGGAGGAGGAATCTCCACTGACAACTCCCAGCCAGCTCCTGTGACCTGTCACAGGCACTGGGAACAGGACTTGAGTGATCCTCTCTAGGCTGTGAAAAATGTCATGACACAATTTTGTGATGGCTAAATCTGCAGAAGGTTCCTTTGATTAGGGATGAAAACAAAATAGATGCCCCAAACTTCTCTATTCATAATTATGTTGGAAGCAGAAACTGGCTGACCTGTGCTTGCAGCATTCCAGGTTCAGACTCAGACCAGTAGGAGAGGCAGTTACACACCACCCTGGGCTGGCAGTCATCCCAGGACAGGGCACAGTGGCCCATCAGGTAAAGTGCAGGGAGCAGGCAGGGTATGTTCTGGGCATGGAATCACCGAGTGGGTGGTTGCTGCTCCTTTGTTCTGCATTCCTGTGACCGACACAGCTGTCTCCTCCTCCATTTCCCAAGTCCCTGCTGGGATGTGGGGGATAAAGGGGAGACAACTTCCTAGAGTTTCCCCTTTCTCCCATTTCTGCCACTCCAAGTCAGGGCAAGGGAGAGAAGCCCATAGAAGCAGAGAGAGGAGCTTGAGCAGAGCTGAAGGGGCAGAACAGTCTGGACTGAGTTTGGCTAAGGCTGTAGGAACTGGCTGATTAAACATAATTTGCTGGTCTACATTCATTTTTTGGCCATTTTGCGCATGCACAGCGTGGTGTAGGTAGACATGCTGCAGAAATATTAATTGATAAGAACTGCAGATGTTCCTCCTGCTTTCTGAGTGTGTTTCAGGTCACAACACAACATGCTGTGCATAAAAGAAGCTGCATTGGCAGCACAGTCAAATTTGGATGTCACTTTATTGTGCTATTTCTGATATTATGAACAATGTTCAAAATGCCATTTGTAAGGATTTTGGTACATTAGCCCTGTTGAAGAGAATGGAATTTGCACACATCCTGGGGACACAGCATGGGCTATACATGTTTTTTATTCCACACTGAGGCAAAGAAGCACTTGGGTGAGTGCTATTCAAAAAAGGAGGATTTTGTTTTCTCCTGGAGGTTGGCATGTTTTTATCTGCCTTCCCTTGAAAACAGCTGGTAGTGAGCTGAAACCACCACTCCGTGTGCAAACTGTGGGATCCCAAACTTCGGGATACAGTTTTGTTTATGTATGCCCAATGCTTATAATGAGCTTAGGCAATGAATCTATTAGACACAGGGTCATTACTATTATTACTTCTTACAGCATTACATACAGCAGACAGTCATCCTTGATTTAAGTGTTTTGGTGCTGCTCTTGCTTTAAGAATAAATAAATACATTAATTAAAAAAGACCCCTTTTTAGAAAAGAGGGAACTAAAAAGATTAAAATTGTTTCCTTAGATCGATTGCACTGTGTGAGGATGCAGTGTCTTGAATTAAAAATGTTGGGAGGATAGTAGATATGTGTTGTGCTTGATAAATGTGCTCTCAGTACTGCTGTGAGAAAGTGAGATAGATCCACACGTCAGAAAACAAGATAAAGCACAACATCTGTTCTTCTCTTCTACCTCTGTGAGCTTGTGGGAGTTCTTTCCTGTTCCCTCATTTCCTCATCTATAAATCTAAAATAACACAGGCTTCCCTTACTGGAAGTTGTGTAAGCAGCTCATGACTGTACAATGTTAAAACCTGGAAGGGAAGTGCACTAGGAGAGCAAAATATATTCTCTCCATAAATTATAGAAACATGGCCAAACAAAGTGATAGACAGAAAAAATCACTACAAATTCTCCTGTCTCCTAATTACCTGGGTGCATCCCTTCTTTTGGTTATCCCTGACTGAGAAAGGGCTTGTTTGTAAACACTGGGATTCAGGGGTGGCAAGAAATCTGGAAAAGCCTTTGGAAATTAGGCTGAACAGTGGCTCTGCGCTTGTGGCTGCGATTATGGGATGTGAAACCAGGTGATCCCTAAGCAGATGCCCAAGTGAGCCTGAGTCATAGGTGAGCCCTTTGCATCAAAGGTACAGGTACCTGCTCATGACCACTTGCCTTCTGTGTTGGTGCTTTATAGGGCTGTTGGCTCACAAGAGTTCCCTACACTGAGGATCAGGCAGCAGGTAGAGGGAAAAGCGTTATCTCTGTAACTGCAGCCACTGTGTTGGGTAGAGAGGAAGTCAGGTTTTGGAAAAGACAGAGATCACCTTTCCCAGAGCAACAAGAGGATTGCAAGGAGCTAGAAGACTTTTGTAGGTGTAAAGCCTGTTAGGCTGTCTTTGAAATAACCTTTCGTAATGAACCTGGGATTCTGTTATGCTGTTGATTATTTAGTTGCCTACACAAAGCTGATATCTTACTTCAGGCTTAAATCAGGGCCTGGCTTATATAACAGTAATTCGAATTGTGGTTTTGATGGCAAATAAACGTCATTCTAGATGAGGGTAGAAAATCACTCCGATGCTGAGTAGATTTGTCCCCTGAGCCACCTGGTAGATAGCTTGGGCTTGAGTAACATGGAGAAGCTGTATGGCATCTCTGATCCGCAGTGAGGTGTTCCTCAAAGCTTCTTGGCATCTCTCCTGTGATTGTTCCTAAAATGCACACCTTGGTTATATGCCAATTGTATAGCACTACCACATCAACTACTCAACTGCCCTGGTAAAAATGAAGCAATAAAAGCAATTGTTAGACTCCCTTAAAGTGGTTGAACTGTTATAAAGCTCAAGCAGCTCCAAGGGCTGATTGACATACAAGCCAGTTCAAAGATCACTGAAGATCAGATGCTGAATATCACCAGATGTGCTAAAAGCTCTTACAAGTGGACAAAACAATCGCTGTCCTGTATGGGCAGTGTCCAAGCTGAGTCAAAGTGCTGCACATCAAACACAATGGCACAATGAGACTGAGTGGAGAGGGAACAGTGTTCTGAGGGATGCAGCAGAGTGTAGAGGCATCTGCAGTCCCCAGTTTTAAATCACTGAGTTCAAAGGTTCTCCCTGACTACAGAAACCCTGCAAATCCAGTACCTTCAAGTGGCTCCTGCTCTGGCATCCCCTTACAAAGTGCCTCTCTCTCTCAGAGCTGCTCAAGAACCCTGTCTTTGTGCTTAGGCACTTGCTTAAATCCTGGCAGTGGGAAACGTGCTGCCATTTTTGCTTGCTGGTTGGGAAGCACCTCATTAGTTATGTCAGAGATACATTTAAAATGTCCATTATTTTGTTCTCTTTGTCCAGGGGATTATCTCTGAAAGCTGTTTCGGTTTCCCAGCAAGGAATAGACCACAATCAGGTCTCTGATTTGAACGTGGGTTCTGGAGGATTTTAAAGCTGAGAGGGTCTGCTGCAAGTCCTTCACCAGACCTCTTTCATGCAAACACAAATTGCAATCAATGCGTCACTTTTCTGCCTTTTCACCAGTTCAGATGTAGCTCCCGATGCCACAGGTGCCATCACTAGGCTTCAGAGTTAACAGTTCTACTAATGACAATTCCAGACTGTGTGGAAAATGAGACAAGGACGGCAAGTTAGGGTCCTACCCGGCATGTCTTCTCTGCCACCGGGGCTTTAGGAACGACTGAGGTGATTCTCATCCCCAGGAGCGGAGCACGGGGCGGAGGGCGAGCACTTGGTTGGGGACACCGAGGGCTCGGGCAGCCTGCCTGTCTGTCCGTCTGTCTGCTCATCTGCCTGCCTTCCACCGGCGGCCGCTCCTCGGTGCCGGGCACGGCGGAGTCCCCCGTCCCTCTCTCCCAGCCGGGGCCGCCACCCCCGCCCCGCCGCGCTCCGCCCCCGGGGCCGCCCCAGGTACCGGCGGGGGGGCGGCTGCGCCACGCGAGCAGCGGCCGCGGGACCCGCACGGCTCGGTTCGGCTTAGCTTGGCTTGGCTTCGCTTATCTCGGCTCGGCGCTTCTCCACCACAGGTAAGAGCCGCGGCCCCGCGGACAGGGATCCTCCCGCGCCGTCGGGGCGCTGCCTTCCCCTCGAAAGTACCGGGGAGGGGGCTGCCGGCGGGGACTCGCCGCGTCTCACCGCCCTCGCCGGGACCCAAAAACTCTTTCCACCCTCCTCGCACCGTGCGTCGGGGCTGTCCCCGGGCTCCGCGGGCCGGCGCAGGGGGCAGGAGGTGCCCGGCCCCGGGGGCAGGAGGTGCCCGCGGTGCCGGTGGGTGCGAACCAGCGGGCGCTCCGCACCCCCGAGGTGCGGTGTGACGGGCAGCCCTCGGGAGCGACGGGGCAGAGAGGACAATAGCAGTTCCAGCTCTAAAATAAACATTTCCCAGCAATGCGAGGCGATATAATAGTCCTTTATCTTTGAAATATCCTGAGCACGGGGCGGGGGGGCGCGGGGGGGAGGCTGGAGAGCGGGGCCTTCCCAGCTGTTCCCCGGCTGGTGTGTGACCCGCCCGTTCCCGTCACGCTGGGCATTGCTCGGCTTGGAGGGTGCGAGCAGGTAACAACACAACTACCCAGCGATAAAGCACTGCCGGGGATCGCGGTGCCGTTGTCGCTGCTGGGGAAGGGTAGAGACCCGGGGGGGGTGTCGGACTGCACAGCCCGCCCGGAGCTCCCACCACAGAGCTGCTGTTCGGCAGGACGGGCGAAAGACCGGACTTGGGTGTCCACCCACGCTGCCCTACGGCACTGGACAGTGAGTCCACTGCACAAAGCCAAACGGATCAATCATTCTAATTTAGTTCATAAAAACTCTCCAGTTTGTCCAGTATCTGCTGTACAAAACACACATTTTTTTCCCATACTTTCTGAGACTACACGTTTATTTTCCCCAGTGTTTTTTCCGTGCTCCCAGCAGCCCGGCAGTGCTGCTCATCTGATGCAGGGGGTAACGTGCTGTGGGACTGCAGGGCAATATCACCAACACCAGCATGAGTGGTTCCACCTTTTTGCTTCCCACAGCTCTGCCTTCATGCTGTCCTTTCCTTCTTACAAGCATGACATGTTGTGTGCTTATGCAGTGCATCAGGTTGATCTGACCTAAATTAAGTCTAACCTGTCAAAAAAATAAAAAGTGGAGGTTAATTTTAGCCTGGATTTTCCCTTGTCCTGAGACAATATAAGAATGTGGCCTCGGAATATGTGTTTTTGTGCAATTCTTTGGTGGCAAATCTGGTTTCAACCTCTCCTACTGTTTCCCATTGCTTATTCCTTATCCAGAGCTGTACTCTCAGCTGTTCAAGTAACAGTCTGTGGGGCTTCACAGTAGCCCAGATTAGCTCTGGGTTCAAATAAACATCTTATAAGTGGGGGGTTTTTTCCCTCCCAAGGTAAAAATGTCACTGGAACTCTAATTTGGAGTTGTGTAACTGTACCCAGATCATGGGAGAACTGGTATTGGTTTATAGTGGGTACAAGATTGAATCCATACACTGCTGTATGGAAGTGTATGACTAAAAGGCTTTTATTTCCTGCTATTTACCTTTGCTATCCTGGAAGTGGTTGCATATGCATTCACTGAGACTTCGGTATGATCACTGTCTTCAAGACAGTTTTATCAGAAGAATTTATAGTGTAAGTCAGAAGAGAGACAAATCAAGCTTAAATCAAGCTTCCTTCACAATTTTGACAAAATCCTACTGTCCCCCTTGCAGATCTGATACACTTTCAGGTAACAAATTGAGAACACTTACTAGCTCTAGGTTTTACAGCAGTAGTTCTTGCTACATCTAGGTGTAGCAAAGGAATACATTTAGTATTTGTTAACATGATAGTTGTTGTTTTCCTGTAATAGTCATGTTAGTTGACTTGTGAGTGGTTCAGAGATAGTTTTTCCTACCTTCCTTTTATTTTGATGCAGCCCCAGATTAAAATGGGCAGGTCTCAGCATCACATTTCAGGGTCTTGGAACCACCCTGGCTGGTTGTAGTTCCACAGAAGGGCAGTCCACTTGGCCCTCCCCAGCAGGTCCATGTCTGTCTGTTACTGGTTTGGCTGAGGAAACAGGTTTTTTTGAAGCATTCCTCAATGTCTAACATTGAGAAGTATCCTGAACTGGTCCTTTCAGGTATGTTTTTTGCTGTAAAAATGTATCTTGTGCTTCAAGTTCTGCCTATTTAGTGAGCTCCTGGAAATGTGTGCTTAGCTTAGTGCAGCATGGTAGTGTTTGATATTTGATGGAAGCATTAAGTTTGGAAGTATTAGCTAATTAAAATGGGGGAAATGGGGGATGCTTGTTGTAATCCCAGTTAGCAGGTGGCTTACTTTGCAGCATGGAGAACATCATAGCACAGAGAAATGAATTAACTTATTCATCATCGGTTTTCTGCTTGGAAGAGGAGGATGAAAGGCAGCAAATTAAACTTCATCACTGCAGAGGCATCCTGAGCTGGCCCTGTCTCTGTGTAGTTCTGGTGGTTTCTACAGGACAATACCAGTCTCTGGTCACCTGATTTGGTCAGGACAGCAGCTTACTTTTACCTCTAAGTGAAAGGTTTTAGACCCAGTGATGCAGAAAAATCTATAGCGCTGTCTCCTGCACACTGGTGGAGGGGTGTCTACGTGAATCTGCAAGTGGTTTCACTCTAGCTCCAGATAGGATGAGTTGCATCACAGATAGGATGAGTTCTGTCATGTACCTGAACTTTCCTTATCTTCCACCACCGTGGGAGGGCATGGTCATGGCTTTCTCCATGGAGGGCTGTATCCCAGTGCAGAATGTAGCTGTACCTTGCCTTCCAGCTGGGAAAGGATCAGCAGGGACTTATTTGCATGTGTCTTGTAGCAGAGCTCGTACAGATTTGTCTTGTGTGTTGCCCAGAGTTCTTTTAGGTCACTGTCAGCGTGTTCAGCAGTGAGATACTGGGAAGTACTTCACTATTTCCAGTTCCTTATTGGAGAACCTGAGGCAGAGCTGCAAGGCTGGAGAGCCCATGAGAAGGAGACTGAGGTCTGTTGTCTCGGCCATCACTGCAATGTTTGTGACAGGAGGGAAGGGCTTTAATGATGGTGCGTTTTGTAACAGCAAAATCAACCTCGTCGGTCCATGCTGTTCTCTGGATTTGGGGTCAGCCTCAGCTAGTGATTCTGTAGGCCTAGAAATTGGCTGGCTCCTGGGGTTCCAGAATTCAATGGAATATTCAGGGCATTGTGGAAGTCTCTGCATCCACTCTTTAGTGTGTAAGGAGGATATAAATCCCCTGTTCTGCAGCTGAACTAAAGGTAGTTATGAAGTTAGAGAGTTGATGGCAAAAAAGTGATATCTGCTGGTTCTTGACTCTTGTTCCACAGCCAGAAAGCTCTTATAAACCTTTTTAAAGCTCTTTTTAAAGCCTCTGTTCCCAAATCTAAATGGGTAATAGTAATAAATAATCACTGGCATTGCTTAGAGGTTTTTTATCTTTCAGTTGTCGTGCATATATTGAACTTATTTGTAGCATGTAAATTCCAGAGCAAATCCACTACAAGCATCTTCCTGTAAAGACTTCTGGAGTCATCAATAAAGGCATTTTAGTTTTTGCTGACAAGATGATTATTTTTAAAGGAATAAACATAGACTTTCTATGTAGAGAGTTGAATTATCTTTGTTCTAGATCTATCAATTGAGTTAGTTAGATGACACCCCAAAATCAAGTCCTGGATGGTACTGAAGTGCAAGCCAGAGGCTGTCACAGAGAGCAGCTGTTGCAGAAGGCAGGGGTATGAGAACAGGAGGAAGTGTAACCGATACCAGAAAACGTGCAATACTTTGGGCAAGAGCAATGTGCAGCCTTGTTGCCAAGTGAGGTGATTGTCAATTGTGTGGGTTGTGAGAAAGGATTTCCTTTTGATCCAAGTTCTCACCTGGAATAGGTGGCTGCAGCTTGTTGTTTACATAAGGTCCGAGTTTGCCCACGTGTTTTGTCAGTCTCCACAAGGCAAGATAATGTAAGTCAAGATGACAAAAGGTGGTGTGCCCTGGGTTACTGGAGAGGCAATGCACCAGAGACAAATTTGGCCTTTAGATTGTATTAGCCATAAAAAAGATGACTAAATTCTGTTATGCTTTTCTGCTCTAAATCCGGAATGACTATTACTTTGAGGCAGTTATTTGTGTGTAGATGTGCTGTAAGTGGCAGACATTTCCATGTCCTATTACAGTTGCCTTTGCAGCACAGTAGACTTTGATCCAGGCTTTGTGCAAAACACCAATGTGTACAGATATATTTCAGCTGCTCCTTGGTTCCATTTGCTTTGCTGCCTTTCTGCAGGAAACGTGTGATGATTCCTATTTAAGGTTTTCCATCCACTTGTAAGATTGATCTGGAATTTTTATTTTAGCTTAATCAAGATAATCTCCCTTTAATAAACTTTAAACTGATGGCTCTAAATATCTGCTGCTATCTTAATATCTGTCAATAACTCAAGCACTGTTTCTATTGTCTTTGTACACTACAGGACTTTCCTCTTTACCTTCTGGGAAGGAAGCTCAGACCTTACACAGCAGTGTGTTCCCAGCCTAACCTGTCTACCCATTAGTCTCCTACCTACTATTCCCTAATATTCTCATTATCCACCTTTATCACAAACATTTTAATCCTTTTGCTTCTACATCACAGGTTCAACAGTGTGACCACTCTATTGATTCATATACTCACAGCAAAGCCTTCATCTGTCTCATGGATTATAGATCTAAATTGGTAACTATCGCTTGCTTGCAATATTTATTAGCAGTTATGTTACTTGCTCACACTCTGTTTTCTGCTTCTGATAAATCTCTCTTGTAGTACAGCATTTGTATAAGACTCCATAAGGTCACGGCCTTATTTCCTTTATGAGCTTTATTCTTAGGATGGCACACATTGGCTGTAAAAAAAATTTCCATTGATTGATAGAAATTTGATTCAGAATTTAATTTCTGAAAAAGAATACAAAAATATTTATTTTCCAATGACAGAGCACATAAAGGAATGAGTTTTTATAATAGAAAATTAGCATAGATGTATAATTTGTGAAGTAGAATATTTTAATTTAAATGCACTTTTAAAGACTCTTTTTGGGGAATAAAACCCTACAAGGTATTCACTCTTTCAAAAAGAAGTTACACTGCATGTTAGTAACATCTCTCATGGGTTACTGTTAAACTGTAGATATTAGAGATTAAGAAATCTTTTGGTTTATCTACTTTTTTTTTTGCTTCCCTACCACATAACTTACAGAGTAGTTTCCACAGTCTTTTAGCATCTTCAGAGCTGTCTGCAGTTTCTGTAAGAGCCCTGGCCCGTGTGTGATCTATTTGACTTTAGCACAATGCATGTGGGTTTTTTTTAAAACTTTGACCTTTAATTGGGCTCATTATTTCTGCTTTACCAAATGAGTGTGTCTAGTAATCTCTTTTCTTCCTTCCACACTCCTAAGTGCCTATGGATAGCCAGGAGTCCAACAGGTACAGCTGTGTTTGTGACTTTGCCCTTTCTCTTGATGCCTGCTGTTACCATTTATTCCTTCTAGACTGATAGACATCAACTTCTTTCTTAGATATTCTTTCTTGGCTGACCTTGAGCACTGGAAGTCAGAAACAGTACTGTGGAAGTAGGAAAAAAGAAGTTTGGACTCTGACATAAAGGAATGATTTAACACTGGCAGCTCTGTGAAAAAAGTGTCAGGAGAAACAAAGTGGCCCAATTGCTGAAAACACAGAAATACACACATAGAAAATGAGGCTGGACCCAGCCTGGAGCAACTGTCATAAGATCTTTGACTCTTAGAAATATAGAGGGGTGGTTTCACCCCATCTTCTCATCTGCCTGAACAAAGAAATGTGTCTGTGCTGGCAGATGATGATGAAACAGTTAAACAGTCACATTTAAATTGTTACTGGTCCTATGTAACACAAAACATATGTAGGAAATTTAAGTTTTGCCTTTAAAAATGAAGCAGTGACATATTAAAAGATGTTTTTACTGCTAGAAATGCCCAGAAGCTGTAATATCCCAAACACAGATGGTTCATAAGAAATTGAATTTGTTAGTGGGTAGTTTGAAGTATAAGTTGCATCAGTGTGACCACGTTTCATGGTTAACTGAGGTGACTGACAGAAGACAAAGAGACTTTTTTCCAAACTCAGACTTCTTTCTCACAATGTTGTGAGAGAGAATGAGACATGGAAATGGTCATGTCTGTGAACACACCCATGTGGTTGCTAATAGAGATGTGTAACTTGCAAGGGAATGATTGGATTTCTTGTTTCTTGGCTGTGAGAGGATAGAGAAGAGCACCCTCCATTAGTCTGTAGCCAAAACTTCAAGGGGCTGTCAGCACTTGGAGTCAACCTTAGCTTTTTTTCCAGGAAATAAATGAATGGTGAGATACAGGAGTTGATTTCTAGCCAATACTTTGGACAGTTCATGTATTTTACTGAAGTTGGCTGTGGGCAGTAAATGCCCACAGCCACTGCCCACAGTCACTGCCAACAGGGGTGGCAGTGACCACTTCCAGTGATTTCTAAGAGCAGGAACGCTGTGCTGTTTGGGGTTTCACTACAAACTATTTTGATTCTTCACCACGATGTTGGTCACAAATTGAAGAGCACAGCTGTGTGAATCCATCTGTATGACACATTTCAGTGAGCACTGAAAGCAGCAAAGGCTGGTTTCCCATGGAGGTGTCTTAGGGCAATAGCCTTTTTTCTTTTAAACTTCGTTAGACCAAAATAGAAACTAAATGCAGGAGAGCCGCCTTGACCGAGGAACATATTCTTTGGTGGCTAATAAGCTCTGATTAAGATTTTATTGCTTTAGAGTGTTTGCAGCAACCTGCTCTTACGTGGTTTCTTTGTCTAATAAAAGATGAGCTCACACTGCAGGCTTTTTCCTCAATAGGGAAATAATAAGGTATCTTATAGCTACGTAACTGCCTATTTTCCCCAACTATTTGGAAGTGGATGTGTTTGAGACCTTGCTCCCGTTACTAAAGCACATGGGGGAAAAAAGGTTGTCAATTTTAGTATGCTCTTAGCTACAAAGCAGCGGGCAGAGAACTAAATGATGCAAGGCCTCATATTGAAGTGTCCTCAAGGACAATCTGATTGGCAGCTTTTTCTTCTCCCGTGTAATGGGTTTTATGGAATGCGGCTAAATCTTTCCTGTACAGGTATTTTATTAAGGATTATTCCAAGGCGGTCAAAATGGAAACATTCACAAGCGTCTCCTTTGCCCTCTGCATGCTGGTTGTGTTTGACGTGATCTTCTGCAACTGAACACCAGTCAGGGTGTGAAACAGCAGAGATGCTGCTCTATTTGGAGCCATCCTGAATGAACAGTGTATGTCCCTGTGTGCCCAGGGAGCAGGGGGGCTACACTGCCAGCTAAACAGCCTTGGACCAAGGAGGGAATACAACCCCCTGGGAACAATGGCTGTGTGAGCTGTTTGGATGATTTGGACAGGAGCTGCCCGTTGTCATTGTTCCCCTCTGCTGCTGCTGCAGAACCTCCTCCAGGTGCTGGGGGCCTGCAGGAGATGTGATTCCATGGACCTCTCTCTCAGTAGCATAGCAACTGCCATCAGTTCCCACTGCTCTGTCCCCTCTGCTTGGCTCTCTCAGCTGTGTTGGATCAGGAGCTGAACCAACTTTACAAACAGCCCTGCAGAACAGAAGTTGTAGGAGGATTTATTTTTAACTGGGATCTCTCCGTGCTCTGAACCACCTCTCTGTGGGGTACAGGACTGGCATGACTAGGGAGTGCTTGGAACAGGAGTGAGACAATAGGTGAGGAAGAGGGAGGGGAGGAGAACTGGGAGAAAGGTCTGCTGTTTCCTGGCTTCAGAATTCAGCACCAATTCAGGGGCAGCCCTGTGAACACTTTCAGCCTGAATGCCAGTGGAGCTCATCTTCAGTCATGATCTGCCATGAGAGGAGTAACCAGAAATTAAAGCAAAAGTCCTTTCAGTTCCACTCTATTGACTGGGGTGGGGGAAGGGAAAAGTCAAATTTAAGCAAGGGGATGGAATTTTCTTTGAAATCTTTGTGCTCTGACGCTGCCTCTGGTGATTCAGGGCGCTGACCTGCAGCATCTCCAGCGCAGCACAGAGGCAGGCGCAGGCCAGCGAGTGTTGTGCTTCTATGACAACAGCCCCGCACTCCGTGCAAGTATCATTTGATCTTATTTTCTGTGTTGTGCTTCTAACAAAGCTGCTCGAGCTGGCCACATTCTGTAATTGCTTTCTTAACTGAGATCTGAAAGTCACATTCTTAGCCAGGTACACTTCTGATTAGAGCAATCTAGGGGGGTTAATAGAAGCAGCAGTGCTTCAGGTAAAAGATCAGCTTGGAGTGTGCGGATGGATTCTGTGAAAGCAAGGGCAGAAAGAAGATATTGATTCCTGTATGATTAGTGGAATACTTCTTTGTTAAAGGTCTGCCTCTGAATCTTTAAATGACCAGCCTTCAAGTGATGAGGGCTTCTCACTTTTTTCAAGCCTCTGTGAGTGGAATGAAGAAGTAGAGATTTTTTTTTTTTTCCTTCTTCACTTGAGTGCACGAGTGTTCTCAATGGCATTTGTGGAAATTACAATGTATACAGGGAAGATAAATTACTGAAATGGACAACTTCTCACTGTCTTCCAGCTTGGTGATGGTACAAATCAACTAATCACCTGATGCATAATATTTACAACTGAGATTTCTGAGATTAAGGAGGCAGTGAATGGATTGGCCTGAGTGTGTGCATGGAAGTCAGTCAGATGTTGAATTCTTCATTTTAGAAATTCCTGTTATGAACACAACACATGGGTGGAAGAGCTGTTTTCTGATACACTGATGAGAAGAAAATTTGTTCCTGTGTTTTCTGGAGTGTTTCAAAGGACTGTGCAATCCAACAGAATAGCAGCTGAAGTTCAGAAAAGAGTGTATCAGAATTGTGTTGTATCCTACAGAGAAACACTTGTGGGAAGATTTTATTGCATTCAGTGCAGCTGTTCACTATTGAGCTACTGATAAATTGCTTCAGAAACTATCCTTGTTAATGCAATCTGTGAACAAAATGTCTGCTGCACCAGCCCTTCTCTGTGTGAAAAAGTTGCATGTGTTTAATTAGAAATAAACCGTCCTGCATATTGTACTGAAGTTTAAACTGGGTGGGGTTTGGTTCGGTTCCCCTCTGTGGGGAATTTAAGTTAAATTATCATCCCCATTTAAATTGCCTTTGGACAGCATTTTGGTTTATAGCTGTTTAACTACAGTGAAATTTGAACTGCTTGTTTGGGTTTTTTGGGGTTTTTTTCAGTGAATTAGTGAAGTCCTGTGTGCAGGTGAGACTTAGTAAGAAGGAAAGTATTTGGCCACATGGTGAGAGCAGACATTGGAGGGAGTCTTGTTCCCAAATGTGCCTATGAATCTGAGTTGAGGGGAAAATTATTTCCTTGGATGCTGGGAAAGATGAGTATTGGGTCTCCACCCAATGCTTTCTGATACTGCACACAAGTAGCACAGGTCCTGCTTTGGATGACTAGCTCCTGCTCAGACCTGTGCTGTCATTGCCCCAGTTTGCCAATCCTGTGACTCGTTATAAGGAGCCAAGACTTTTGGTTGTTTGATGTGGGGTAGAGTTTGAAACAGCATGAGAGATTAAAAGTATGGTATAGCTGGTAAAAGGTAAAGTTTCCTTTTCCTCCTTTGTAGTAATTTGGTCTGTGTACTTGTGTTCTGCTCTGTACAAACAGAGATGAAAAGTCAGGGCCTTGCCTTCTCCCACTAAGTGTCTGAGTTGCATTCATTAAAGCAGCCAGGGCTGCTCAGTGAGTCCTGATATTTCAGATTCAGCCGTTGTTTTTTGGTTTCTGAATCCAGTTCAGGGTCACAGTGATCTCTGAGGCTACATCTTCCCCCCTCCCCATCCCACTAAAATTCACAATTCTCACAACCACATAATAAAAAGGGATAATTTATCCATTCCAAATGCTACCTGCAGCCACACTGAGCCCTCATATTTTATGCAGGTGCTGTTCATTTAAATTGCAGCCTTGATAGTAGATGGGTGTTGGATAGAGTTAAAATTTCAGCTGAAATTCCTGGTGTTTCATCTTATCCTCTTGCCTTTTTTTTTTTTCTGTAAATGTTGAGAACAGAACTTTTCTAAGGCTAAAATGGCGGTGGTGCATGTGCTAGAAGTTCAGATTTTCCACAGAAGTCATAAAAGGAATTATTTAGGTTTATTTACCTTGCAGACTGCTTGATGAATTGCACGGTTGGCTGCACTGTCAAAGATTTTACTTCTTGGTTGCAGTACTGCAGATTATTGGAGCAACAGAAGTGGCACCCTGCCACAGGAGTAAAGAATGCTGTTTCCCCATGAGTATTTGAACAATCTGCAATAGCCATCTGTTATTCTGTTCAACACAAAGCAGTGCAACAGGTGTATTTCTTGGGTTTGGGAATCTTAGCTGTACAAGTGAATAATAGACATTTAAAGCCAGGATTTAAAAGAAGATTTCAAAGTGTGTTCCTCTTTATTCAGCAGATATAGTGGTTATGACATTAGAAAGTGGCGAGGTAACCTAAACATATGGTACACAGTTAAGGAAAACAAATGCTGAACTGCTCTTAAATCTGTTCTTTTTCCGTGTTTGTCATTGTCTTAGATGGCTTCAGTAACAGATGCCAGATACAGGCAGAAAGATACTTCAGACCAAAATTTTGATTACATGTTCAAGCTCCTGATCATTGGCAACAGCAGCGTGGGTAAAACATCCTTCCTCTTCAGATACGCCGATGACACTTTCACACCAGCCTTCGTTAGCACAGTAGGGATTGACTTCAAAGTGAAAACAGTTTACAGAAATGACAAGCGGGTGAAGCTGCAGATTTGGGTAAGTGCCAGCGTGTTCAAAAATGCTTTACATTAATCCCAGCAAAGATATGATGGTAAAAAATAGCTTGTTTGGAAGTAGATTTTTGGATTGCTGTAGATTTTGGTTGTTCCTAAGTTCTGTGTGGCTGTATCTTTGTATTCCTGCAGTGAGCTGAGTTCTCTGTATTACTGGTCAGAGCCCTGGTATTGTCTTAAGCAGCAGCTCTACGGTCTCAGAAGTCAGTGTCTATTAAACTGCAACAAACTCTACGCAGGTCTGGAGCCCTTTAGTAGCACTTTTTCAGTGAGCAGAAATTCAATGAGTGCTCAGTGAGTGAACTCTACACATAACTTCTACTATTGGTTTATGTCCTCTACATAAGATACTTGTATCTTCCTGCAACTCCTGTACCTGCTCGGCAGTGCCAAACATTTCCACCCAAATCTGCCCCAGCTAAGAGCTTGGTCTTGTAATTGATTTATATACACTTGATTTATAATTAATCTTTAATAATTATATTTAAATGTAAAATTATAGTAATCACATGTGGGGTTTTTTTATTTATTGTGGTGATCTTGAATAGTCACAATAAATAGTGAGCATGTAAAATGAGGATTTTTTTTTTCCCTTTAGCTACAACTCTATAATTTGTATTATTTCTGGGTTGCTGGGTACAACATACAACAAATTACTTAATAAAAGATCCTTTTTGTGTTGTAAAATCCTGACATTGAAACTAACGTGGATAACCTGGCATGAAGCTGTTTGATTTAATTTAGGGTTTCGGTAATAAAAAGGTTTGTACTTCAGGCCCTATAAGCAACTAAAGATGATTTTCATCCAGCTGGTCTTTCTTAATTTTGGAACATGGAATTTTCTAATAAGTTGTGTAAAAGCAAGACAGAAAGCACCATAAAATATTTGGGTTTTTTTCAAAGATACCGGGATTAAAGTGAATTAAGCAATAATCTTAATTAAATCTGTTTGAAGGCTTTGGGGGGAAAAAGGCTTTAATAACCTTAAACTTCTTATGGAAAGAGATGTCAGGTGGATTCCTCAGAGAGTGCTATCTATAGGACCTGTAATGTTGGAGTTACCAACAACACTGTTGATTTAACATTTATTTTTAATAAAAGGTTCATCTCAGTGTTTGACAGTTTCCACAGTAACTCGTGTTCTGTTCTCTCTTTCTGTGCTCATTGCATGGGTCCCTTATGTGAGTTATGATTCAAGGACCTTAACAAAAACATCATGTACCTCTATTAAACCCACAGTGTTTGAACTTGTTTATCTCCTGCCCATCCTGAGATTATATGTTTAATTTCAGCGTGTTCTTCAGAGTACATGTAGTAATAGTGGGGTCCATTAATATACCAAAATTATGTGTTCCTAAGTGTAGGAAGGAAGAGTTTTCTTACCAACCTGTCTTCCAATTACTTTTTAAAAAATTACTTACAGCTGCTATTGAGTTTCTATGAGTGTGGGACTATGTGGCCCCAGTGAACACTTTGCTTTGACCTACAATTTTCCAGTTATGTTGACTTTTTAAATTATGCTCCTCGTGAGCTTGATGTTAAGCCAGGTTTAATGTGAAACCAAGTGAAGAAGGAGAAGTACAAGTGCTTAATTTAACCACTTCAGATGTCTTTATAGAATTCAGAGAGAAGTACTTCTGGGAACCTCTGATGCTCTCTGTCTGCAGAGCCGGGTGTTTCTGAGTTCAGGGGTGCTTGTGGAGCTCTCGAGTGTGCACAGCTGTGGCAGACTCAAGGTGCTCAAGGGCTGTGCCAAATAACCTTGTTTTGTGCTCTGCAAATCTCAAGGTGAGGGGGAAGTTGCTGCTGCTGTGCTGTGATCCAGAGAGATCAGTGGGACTTTCTATACTGGCTGTTGCCTGTGTTGAACAGAAGAGACGATATTCAGGTGCAGTACTCCAGCTACAAACAGTTCCTTGGGTTTTCTTAAAGCTGAGAAAAATAAGTGCCAAACAGCTGCGTGTGAAGACTGACAGCTTTGTCAGTAAATGTCTTTCTGGCCTGTCTTGAACTTTTGTATCTCCAGCAGAAATTGAGGAGCATTTTAAAGCCAGAGGTCCCGCGTTTGTGTTTGCTGGATTTGAGAAAGTCTGTGTTTTGTGAATCAGGATTTGACAAGCTGTCAAATGTGATGATCAAAAACGAGTGCTCCTCTGTTTAATTTTGATGTCATTGATGGGCCTCTTACCTTGCTGACATTAACGCCTCAATTGCCCAAATTGATATTTTAATAAGAGCCCTATCAGTTGTGGCAGTGACCAAGCAGGCTGGGAAATGGTCTGCTTTGAAAAGACTTGAAAGGAATATCTCTTTAGCTTGAGAGGAATGGCACATAGCAAAGATATTCATGATCTTTTTAAGGTAGAATGACAGTGCTGCTGCTAGAGAACAAAACAGTAAAATGGTCCAGAGTGGGCTTACAGTAATAATGCTTTTCAGGCTTTTATTTTTTTCTTTCTTTCTTTAAACAACTCCAAGATGAGTTGACTGTTTTAATTTCAAATATTTTCTGACTTGTTTAGAACTGGTGGTGTTATATAAATTAACTGTATGAGAAAGTTAATTTTGTAGTTGGATGAGATTTTATAATATTTTAAATATTGAATTTAAAAGATTATTTACATAAATACATTAATATAGTATATAGATATTCTAATATCCACATAAATGTAATTCTTGGATTATTTTTTTTTTATGCCACTGCCACCTGTAATAATACTTTCATATAGAGAATCTTCCTTATGATTGATTTGTAAGGAGCCACGGGGTGTGCATGTAGATTATTTCTTTCTTAACCGACAATTTTGTATTCTCAGAGTTGCTAATTACTGATTACTGAAGGAAAACTATTATATTTTCAGCTAGGTATGGTTTTTATTATAAATAAACCTCAAAGGTAACATTATTATATTCTTAGCAAATGCAAACAGCTAATACTTAATGCAGAGTTCAGGTTGCCTAGCAGCTAGAGAGGGCCACTCTGTCCAGCTCCCAATGGAAGCAGAGTGAATGAATAAAAGTGATTTCAGTTTTAGGTGAGAGCAAGGTGAGATTTCTTCTTTTTTTCCCCCCTTCTTCTGTGCATTTGTGTGTCTATTGGTGGTAACTAATAATGGTGATAGAAATAACAGCAGAACTCGTGAGCAGCGCTGAGGTTAAATGCTGAGGGGCAAACTCTGGTCCTTTGTGCTGGCCCAGGCTACATTAATTACATGAACTCTTTACATAGTAACATAAAATAACGGATGGAAAGTCATGGGCAGTGTTCAACCCAAAACACTTGAGCACCACACAATACATACTTTGTGTGAGGCATTTGATTACACTTTCATTACACTTTTGTACAGCCTCCTGCACAAGGGACTCTCAGTTTTGTTGCACGTACTGCACATAACACACAACCACTTACGTGATTAATAATAAACAGAACTAAATACAGGGTTTGGCAGCTGATGTTACAGTTGAAACTACTTTCAACCCCCTTTGTAAAAGGCAAATAGAATTAAATTTAACTTCAGCTAAAAAGGCTGTGATGTTCAGAGGCAGCATGTTTAGACTGCAGTATGATTTTTCTCTTAAGATGCTACTTATCAGAATTACACTGCTAGGATGAAGGTTTTTCATTCCCATTAACAAAAATGTTTCCGTGTCTTAACTGCTGAAACATGTTGGGGTGTGAGATTAGCTGTAGTGGATGTGTGGAACACGTGTTACAGCTCTCAGGCACAGCTGGGGAGAGGGTACAAAGCAATATCGCTCTGGTTTTTCTGGATCTTTAAGAACCGAAATATGACAACTACTAATTATACTGAGTGGCAGTTACCATTACAAAACAGAAAAGTGTAAACCAAAATAAACCCCATGCTGTGTAGCTGTCCAGAAGGAAAATATGGAGTGTTTTTAAAAGCTTTCTGTGTCAGTTGTCTCATGAATGACAGGATGTTACTGAGCAGCTCATCTCATAAGAAGGGATTCACAGAAGTAACACTGGTAACTAAGTCTTTTTTTTTTCTCCATTTACAGGAGGTAAAATTAGAACACCATCATATTTGATTGTAAATTTTAATGTTAATTGCACACTTAACCAAAAGCTAATTATGCATTTCAGATGAGAGAATCATCTATTCCCCAGACATCCCATTCCCATCATGGTTTTGCTGAGTTCCTTGCAAGCAGTGACTTTAAGCTTGAATACTTGCACAAAACTTGTTTCTAAAAAAAGAGATAATAAGATTCTGTAATTTAACGTATAGATGCAATAGCAGTGCATGTCCCCAAGGATCTGACAGGCCTGATTCTGCTCAGTAAATTCACAGCTGTTGTAAAATCCTCTGATTTGCTGTTTAAACAAAGAACTAAAATGGAAAAATTCATGAGAGTGAAAAGAATAGGTTGATCCTTGTAAGAGAGTCAGGAATTACATTTTATTTGCAGCATTAAGGACTTCCTGGGTCCCAGGAATGGGAATCATTGTGGTTGAGTGGACATAAAGCACTACTTCTAATGCTAAAACACAATGCAGAATATTTGACTGGAGAAGAGATGCAATAACAGTGTCTATAATTCAATTCTGAGGTCTTGGTTACATCTCAAGTAATAATACTGCTGCTTTGAGAAGAACTTGGTGCTCATGCCACTCTGAATGGGCTTTAAGATTAGAGTTGCAGGAGTGATACAAGGGAGAAAAAGAAAAACTTAAAAAATAAACCCCTGAGGGGTTAGTTATCCCTCTCACTATTGAATTTATTGAACAGCCTAAGCTTGCTGAGCAAGGCATTGCTGTGTTTGCAGTTAAACAGTTGACATGGAGGGTTTATTTCTGTTTATAGTTAATCACCTCAATCCCATTGTTATCTCATTATAACTCTGCATTATAGTGAAGGCCAAATTCAACTTCAGTCTAAGTTCTGTTACCACTGCAGTTATTCCTGCTGACAATATTGGATTTGCTCTCACTGCAAGGTGTAGTATCTCTTCTGTGCT